TTGTTTTATTTAAAAAATACTAAATACAATTTAATTTTCCAGGCAAATTTGCCTGGAATACGGTTTAAGGGATAATAAAATAGTATAGAATTATAATTATAACATATACTAGTAGAATGATCTGATATTGTAAAATAATTTTTTTATATATTGCACACTGGGTGAAGGATCAGTTATGTAACATTAACACCTCCTATTATTACTCCAATTCTCTTTTATTGTTATGTCCAACATTACATATTGCTTTAATATTACCAATCTCTGCAGGTTTAATAATTTATAAATGTCTTATATTCATTTTTTTTAACTCCAATTCTATTTTAATAAAGATATTCAATATTATATGTCATCTTCAATCTCTGCAAATTCTTGATAATCCATTACATTCATCCTTTTCAACTCCAATTCCACTTTGATAAAAATATTCAACATTATATATTTCATTAGCATCCTTACCCCTGCAGATTTTCAATAATTCATGAATGCCAAAATTCTCTTTTCAGCACTGGTTTCTAATTTATAATAATTCAAATATCTATTTTACTAGTATTCTATATAATAAATTAATGCTTTAAATTTCTATTTTAATAACTGGTAAGATATCTAACAATGTGATCAATAATAATAATTCAAACTAAAACAAATCTAGAAATATAATTTTATTAGATAAGTTTGCTAGTTCAAGAGTTGTGTTATCATTGAAATATAAAAAACTCAAGAATTTATTATCTGCATTATAATGATTAAATAAAATTGAATCAAGAATATTTTATTTGTTTTTGATTTAATTTGAATGAATATACACATGATGCCATATAAATTACATGTCATCATGTAATTTACTCATGATAAGTAAATTAAAAAATTATAAAGAACAATTTGGATTATTAAATTAATTGAGCTTAAATTATAATTGATTTTTGTATGGTTAATACTAGATGAGTTTTCATTTTCTACTCTGTTTATATTAAAAACTTTACAAATTAAAATTTCTTTATTTATTAAATTAAAGAAATGTTTTAATTACCTAACTTTTATATTATTTATTTATCATTGTATGTATATAATCATTGCTAACAAGTTATAATATATAAATAAAATTTAAGAGGTAAAGAGTATAAAAATAGCAAATTTAATAGTTAAAAATTGCTGGAAATTAATATAGTTTTTCTATAAATTAAATGTGGCTAGCTTACAATCAAAAGTTTTTTTATGCCAAGTAAACCTTCATTAAACTTCTAACAAAGATTATAGAACAAATGATTCCAGTTCTAATAATAATAAAATTATCCAAATTGGTTTGGTAGATCACAAGTTATTGGCATTTTCTTCTTTATAACTACTTAATGTCAAAAACTTTTAGCATTCCAAAATTATATGAAAGTAATAGTAATTCTTCACTAATTTTTACTATGAAGCTTATACTCTTCAACTGTGATCTACCACTTAATATATTTATCTCTTTGTAAAAAAAAAAAAAAAAAAAATCAATAACTTCAAAGTTTATTCTGACTTTAATTTTATCCTTACCTTTATTATTGCTATGATATGAATGAACTTTGTCAACTTGTCATATTACAAAAGGGACATCTGAAATTAATGATTGATAAGTACTTGTTTGTAAAAGATTATATGTGTAAAAATACTTATTACTGATCATATGAAAAAAGAAAGTCAGAGCTGGAGTACTGCAAGACTTGAGCAATTACTATTCTTTTAAATGGGTTACATTATTTAAAAAAAATTGATAAACATGAATATGCTCTTCAAACAGCAGTAGCAAAATTGCTCAAGTTGCTGCTCATATCAAACAACAAGCTCAGAATACACAAGATGCACTCTCTAACATAATTCAAAATAATATTACCACTATTCCAAAAAATCTTTCTCCTTATATGCCTACAAAAGAGGCTCTCTGAATGAGGATTAAGCATATTAGGATGGCTAAAATGCCATCACAACTCTAGAACTTAAATGAGATTGATGTTTCAGACTCATTATGTTTAACCTTAAATGATGACCTATTTTTAATAAAAAATTTAAAACTTAATGATGATATTAGAATCCTTGTTTTCACTACAAAAAATAATATGAAATATTTATCTCAAGCACCTTATTGGGTTATGAATGCTACCTTTAAAACAGTCTTTACTGTTTTTCAGCAAATTTATACCATTCATGCACCTGTTGGTGCAAATGATAATTTTTAAATTCTACCTTTTATATATGCCCTAATAAGTCATAAATCAGAAACACTTTATACTCAATTATTTTAAATTTTATATAACTTTGTAGAAGATAATAATCTTCAGCTCAATTCGACAACAATTATTACTAATTTTGAACAAGCAGCAATCCATGCATTGTCTAATACATTCTCAAGTTAGTTATTTACATTTAGTAAATATGTATCTATATATGTATTTAATTTTTAAACACTAATAACAATAAATAAATAAATAGCTAACCAATTAAATTCATCTAGGTGTTACAAATAAATGTTGTTTTTTCCATCATGGAAAAAGTTTGTAGTGAAAAATACAAAAATTTGGATTAGCAAGTCAATATGAAACTGATATAGATTTAAGTTTGATGTTATGATGTTTACTTGCTTTGGCTTTTCTTCCATCTAATGAAATTCTTGATGCATTTAAGATTCTAAAAACAGAAATGCCACTAGCTGCAGCTAATATTACACAATAGTTTGCTAATATATATGTACATAGAAATATTTGATGGTTATTAACTAATGGCAATGAATTACATAATCCACCTCTTTTCTTACCAGAGTTATAGTCTGTTTATAGCTTTGTTGAAACTGGAGTTCCACGTATACAAAATAAAATTGAGGCATTGCATCATCACTAGAATATCTAATTGGTTGTACTCATATAAGTATCTATTCAATTATTAAAGAATTCCAAAAGGAACAACAAAATGTTGATTGTTAGATAGAAAGAATTCTTAATAGAAAACCAAAACCCCAATCTAAAAAAAATACAATTGAACAAGAAAAACAGATTATAAGTGTTTTAAATAATTAGTTTAATCATACAACTATAGATTTTTTAAAAGGGATTGCACATAATCTTTCTTTTTAAACACCTTTTAATAGCAGTATAAAATTAAATAACTATGCAGCATCAATCAAATTGTAATACATATAAATATTGTAACAAATAATTTTTTATGTGCATGCAATATAACAAATTATGCTATTAAAAAAATATTTGCAGTATTATATTATATTATTATTCTCTCTTATATAAAAAATATTATATTAAATAGTGAATCAATTTGAAGCAGCCTTAAGGTAGCAGTAAGAATGTTAAATTTTTTAAAACATAATTTTAAAAAACATGTTTGTTTGATTAAAAATTGCTTTAATACATTATAACATAATATGATCTGAATATATTATGTAGTATTTGAATTATAAAATTTTAATTCTGGATTTGCAGATTTTAGAATTAGAATCCAGATATATTTTAGTTATTCAGATATAAATTAAATCAAAAAATATATTTATTATAAATTCAGATATAAATATTGTGAGAAGAAAAACATAATCTAGCTGTAGATATATAGGAAACGTAACCTAGCTGTAGGCATATAGAAAATGTGATTATGACCCAAATTAAGATCCCAAACTGAAGCTAAGCTGCATGTGAAAGTAGCATTTAATAAAATGCTATATTGGCTTTAGCTTGAAGCAAAGCTTATTAAGATCAATTGAATAATGGCTTTATGTCATAGTCATGTAAATAAATCATTATAGCTTGTAGATTCCCCTCTCTGATACTCAATTTAGTTAAGCTGTGTCAAAGCCTTCACTATATTTTTTTTGTATAAAAGTCCTGTAATTTTTGTTAGTAAAAAGACAGTTAAGTAGAGATAAGATATTAATTATTTGTTAGTAATAAAAACATACCTTAAAACTAGAATCTTAGTAGCAGTAGAATCATTAGTTCGCAGACCAAATCTTTCATGCCTTTTTTTTGAGTTGTCATGGTCTTTGCATTATGTTTGTTATATTTTAATTATGAGAAACCCAGTAGCCCCAAATTCACTCTTCACAATATATATATTTGATAAAATGTAAATAAGATTAATTGGATCATAGTATATTTAATAATTGAAAAATATTGGGAATTAACTGTCTTTTCTGTGAATTCAACTTTCATTCTGGACAAATGAACAGAATTTGCTGACCTTCTTTCTCACAATCTTAGCCTTCACAATACACTACTCAATAATGACACCAATGAAAGCATTGAAACTACTTGGCACATGATTAAACATTCAATAATTAATACTGCAATACATTCTATCCCTAACAAAAAAACTCGTAAATGCAGCTACTATCATCAATATTCCTCTAACTCTACCTTAATCTACACATCACTCAAAGAGCTTGGGCATTTAATAAAAATTGCTAAAAATACTCACAACAACCTCAACATAAACATAATAAACTTTAGAATTAAGTCTATTAACAATAGATCCTATTGTGACCTTCAAACTCTAGATCCAGATAATAATTCTCAAATTCATGCATGGATTCAACATGTATAAGATATTTGGAAACAACTTTATCATGCTCATCATTCAGAAAACTCATTATTACTTTGTCAACAAATCCAACAAGCAACTAAAAAAAGATGCAAAACACTTTCTACATATTCTAAACAAGCCATTAACAGTATTCTTAATCAATACAAAGCCTCTATACATTTTTCTAACATCAAACTCTCTGACCAACTTATTACAGACCCCAAACTCATAAAACAGCATATACAATCTCACTTCCATGATTGGACTGCACATCGACCAACTGACCAAGTACTGTTTGACAGCTTCTGACATATATACTACTAACCACAATCACACATTAATACCCAATAGTACAACTCTCTTAACTCCCCTATTACAGAAGATAAAGTACTTCAAACCTTGTCACAACTCCTGAATAGAAAAGCCTGTGGACCTACAAGCATCAGCTATGAAATGCTTAAACATGCAGGTACTACTTGCATTAAAGCTATTACAGCTCTATTCAATCGTTGCTTTAACTTAAGCCAAATCTCCAAACAATAGAAACATAGTAGAATTTACCTAATTCCAAAATGTAATATATTTAACAGTAATCTAAGCCTCACTCGTCCTATTAGTCTTATCAAACATATTCAAAAACTCTATACAAAAATTATTATTACTAGAATCAGTACTGTGTTTTCTTAACATTCAATACTCTCACCTTACAACTACATAGCTCTATCTAATAATAGCACATTTATACCAATTCACATACTTAACAACCTTATTGAAGTTGCATCATGCAACAACAAACCAATTTGGCTTTTATCTCTAAATATGAGTAAAGCATATGACTCAGTTAATCTTACTCTTTTTCAAAAATCTTTACAACGTCTTGCCCTTCCTTATTCTATAATAAATGCTATTACTAACATCTTTCATGATCAACAAAACCAAGTCATTACAAACTTTGGACTTACTCCATCATACCCTGTACATAATGGCATTGATCAGGATGAAACTATCACTCCTCTTTTATGTAGAATCTACTATGATCCACTTATCTCATACATTTATATCAACTTCAAGAGCTACACTACACAAGTCTCTTGGTTAACTAATCTAAAACATCAAATATATAACAAGCTTAGCTCACATTGCTCAGTTTTTGTCTATATGAATGATATTCTTTGGATTGCATCCTCACAACAAGAATTATCACAAATCCTTTCTGCAGCTGAATCATTCTTTAACATAGCTAATATACAAATTAACCCTTCCAAA